ATATATATATATATATATATACAGTATATATATATATATATATATAATTTAATATATATATAACTATTGTAATGTACAGTTTGTATTGTTATATTAAACAAAAAAATGTAAAGGTAAATTTGAATTTATTCTTGAATTATCATTCCATTGTCTCCCACAGCTGCATGATATAAAATATATAAAATATAATGATAAATTGTTTTATTGTTTGAGGCTTTTTTTGACACACAATTGTGCCCAGGAAACTATTTAATAATAACAAAACAAAAAAAAGGATGAGTGAGACTGATGATTTATGAGAACATTTCTGTATCTTATCTTCTTCTAAGTGATTCCTTTAGTTCTCTGTGACCATGATGATAAAGGAAAGTCGATGTTTCTAAAAGAACAAAGGCTGTGTACACATATGCTAACAGGAGGGAGAGAGAAGAAGGCGGTGAGTAGTGAATGATTGTTTCACCCGTCGGGCCTGAGGTCTGGGATGGCTCTGTCTAGAGAGAGTCTGTCGCTGAGGTAGCCGTTGTAGCCGTAGTACTGGAACTTCTTCAGGGCCGCCTTGCGGCTCTCTGGGCCGAGGTCATGACCCCAGTGTGCAAAAAGAGAGTCTGAGAGGGACTGGTCAGCTGTGTCATCCCCATCTTTCAGTGGTTTCTCTGAAAGTTCAGACGCAAAGAACAGTGTTAGCAGTGTTAGTGTTGGCTCAAGGGCTTCTGGGTAAGCATGGTCATCACGTCTTTAACATTAACTCATTTTCACTCATGCTGAATTAGTGAAAACAAATAATGTAGGAACTGAATATAATTTATAAACAATTTAATAATAACAATAATGAATACTAATAATATTTATCACTGTTATTATTACTGCTTCTAATATTATTGTTATTGTTATCTAACAACAACAACAACAATAATTATATTATTATTATTTTTACTATTGTTGTTGTTAAATAACAATAAAAATATTAGAAGCAATAATAAAAACAGTAATAGTTATTATTATTACTCCTAAACATTTAAATTATTATTGTTGAATGTATTATTATTATTAATCAACATCTATGTAATTTATTATTAATAATAATTATCACTATTATTATTTATAAAGTATTATTATTATTCAATAATGAAAATATAATAACAACCATTTAAAAAATAAACAACAACAATACATATTAAAATGATAATTTTATTATATATAAATATTTCAATTAATTTTCAATAACAATACAATTATAGTATTAATAATAACAATAAACATTTATAATTACTATTACAATAAAAATAATAGTAATAATAATAAATATGATAAATATGAAAATATATTTACAATTTTCACCTTACACTAGGTACAACACAATGAAAAATGTTTTACCAAAAACAATTTGATATAGTAACATTATGGGGTTTTGACCACATATCAAGGCAATTCCATATTTTTGGGACATGTACCATGGCCATACCACATATTTTAAAGTACCTGGGTGTACTGTGTATGTACCGCAGAATATGAATATGGTATTGTTCAGTACTATAGTATTATGGTATAGCGCCATAGTACTTTGCAATGCCATTCATCAAGTCAGCGATCCCATCAAGGTCTTGAGTATAGCTAATCTTTTTCGCTCAAACTCTCCATCAAGCTGCCTAGGCAGCATATATCTACCTTCCACTCCATCAAATTCAAATACTAAGAAAATATAACAGGTTGCAGAACTATGAATGCTGAGTACTCAGGCAAAACAGAGGGAAAGTGCCCTGGCAATGCTCAAAGAATGATGAAAGGCCAATGCACGCAATTAAAAAGTGCTAATTAACAGCAGAAGTTATTTAATTACAGCCACTGCAAAGAGTTGGCCTGCGGAGAATAATTCATCTTTGCCACTGCAGACACTGACAATCTGAAACCAACTTCAGATCAGCCGACACTGCTTTCATGAACTATAAATGCCTTTTAAAGGGCCGTCATGTAAACATACAAAAAAAGAAGTCTGTTTTAGGCTACCAGCCTTTCAAATGCACATCCAAAATCACTGAATAATTTAAAAAATCAATCCTTGATGCTAATCTTTAAAATTGTATTTGTAGCTTACTTTGATTTTTCAATTATTTCCAAATTGCATCAGCAATCTCAAATTAGGATTTTGGAACTGTTGCTCGAATTAGCAAAACTGAAGGTTAGTCATGAGGCTTGAAAATCACATTCACATTAAACAGAGCTTAGCCTCTATTCAGCAGAGAAGCCATACATTCAAACTGAGCCATTGAGAAAAGAGGCCACAATGTTTTACTGGCTAGAAATCAAACAGCAAGACGAATAACAAAAACCCTCCATTATTGTGTTTAGAAGTTCAATTCACCATGTAATTCAGGTAGTCTCAACATGACCACACTTACATGCAAATAGATACTCTAAATAGGTGTCCTCTATGTTGTTGTGCTCCAAATGACTTCAGCTTCAGATGATAATCTAAGCTGTTTCACTGACACTGTTGTTTTGTATCGAGATAAGAAAAGAGGGGAGAGAACTGCAGAAACTGACAGATCAGTGTAAGTAGGTTGAAAGATGGATCTTCCCATCATATGATATGAACACAAAGAAGAATAATTTAAAGTTTGTTATAGCACCTACTGTGTGTACCTACTGCTTTCCAGAAGAGAATGACAGACTGAAAATGAATGTGCCTCTCGGTAGGAGTAGAAATCAGCACTTACACTGATAATAATTAAATTGCATACAGAAGTGCTAAGCAACAGGCTAAACATTTCAAACTACAGTTAGGGACTGAACATGCGCAAATTAAATTTCATTCATTTTCATTAATTAACTTTAATTCATTTTAATTTACTTTAAATCATCACACTTGCTGACATTTTGTTCCCATTATGTGTGGAATAAAAAAGGAAGCGAAATAATATCTGTATGTGTTATTTTTGGCTGCATATGTCGGCCCGGACACTCTTGTAAAAGAGATTTTTAATCTCCGACAGGTTTTTGTCCTTGGTCAAATAAAGCTTATAATAATCATTTTTTACAATAAAACTTTATAGGTTCCAATGCACAATCACTATTGTCCATAATTGTACATTATATCATAATAGCCCAAACCCAACTAATAAAAAGCCCTTTTACTTGCATTTAACATTATTATCATTATTTTTGAATGAATAAATAGATATTTTCCCATCATCATGCAATTTGCACCTTTTATATTTACATAAATCTTTTCAAATAAATACATATTTTTCATCATCATGCACTTTGCACCTATCAATAAAATATTCATAAAAATATATAACATATAATACATAAAATAATGATTTAATATATAAAGAATAATTCTACAAAATAGCGACTTTTAAAAGGCATTCACAAATTTGCACCACATCCTCCTGCAGTGATAATTATCTTGTAATTTTTTTAATGCAATAACCATTTTGAAACTACTTCCTAAATATGATAAAAGTCTTAAAAGCATTAGGCAAAGCAATATGAAACAAATGATTACTAAAAATATTCATTCTTTAGAAAAAGAAAAAGAACAGCAAGGGTTTTAATCACCAAATAGACCCAATTATAAGTCCACATAAGGTACATAAAATAATTATAGAATACATTACAAAAATTCTGCACAACCGCAACATTTAAAAGACATTCACAGCTTTGCACTACAACCTCCTGCAGTGACAAAAACAATTATCTTGCAATTGTTTTTTAATGCAATAACCATTTCCAAACTACTTTGTAAATCTGTTAAAACTAAGTTGAAGCAGTATGAAAAAAAAGATCAATAAAAATATTTCTTCTTGCCAAAGAACTAAAATGGCCTTTACTCACCAAACAGAACTAATTATAATCAACTCCACAAAAAGTACAACCACATTTCACAAGGTTGTTCAAAATCAATTAATATAATCCTGTTCTCAGTTGAAGTATATACTTACAGCCATGACTGAGTTCTCACTTCTAAGTAAATAACTTTTAAATCCCTGTAAGCTCTAAGTACTGAAGTTATCAACAAAATAAAGAAACACTCAAAGCTTCAGATTTAATATTTAAAAAGGATTTAACAGAATTCATTCTTAATATCTCTTCAGCACCAAAACCTGTATGGCTTTCTTTCTTCTGTGGAAATTTGTGAAGAATACCCTGGCCAATCTTTTTCATATAATGAACAAAAAAAATTGGGGACTGTGGCTGTCAAGCTCCGAAATGACAAAAAAGCAGCATTAAAGTATCATAACAGTGGTTCATAAGACTTGTGCACCATATTCCGTGTCTTTCAAAGTCATATGATAGCTTTGAGAATACATTATTTAATATTTTTCCTTTAGTACTCCACAGAAGAAAGAAAGTCACACAGATTTGGAACAACATAGGAGAACTATAGTGTACCTTCAAAACGCTGCAAAAAGAAAAGATTCATGTTATGAGACAAACATAGTAGGATGGATCCAATCCAAAACAAAGTTGTTTCCCTTTTTAAAATGCGAAAGCCTCATGAGGGTTGTGTCACGGCTAGCAATTCTGACCTCGCCTGTGGCATGCCGTCTGCCTGTCAATGCCAGCTCTATGGAGCAAATGTAAAACAAGACACCCAGCATGTAACCCAAACTATTGAGTTCAGAAGAGCACATGCAAACAGCCTGCAAATGCAAAAACATCATGCAGTTCTGACATTTTGGAGACACCCAGCTCTTTGCCACAAATATTGGTTCATGTGAGTGTACATGTCACATGCGGTTTGTGTGCATGTGTGTTTGTCTGAAGAGGACTGAAGAGGACTCTGACTCACAGACCCGAGACGAAGTTGAAAGCCAAAATATGAGAGCACTCTCATGGCCCTAATGAGTTAACATAGCTGACCTAATGTTTTGCTGTCAAATTTATTCAGACCGATGAGACAACGCAGACAGAAAACAGAGCTCTGCTTCCTGAAGACATACTTTCCATTTTAAGTTCATTAAGAAGCCTCAGACATATTTAACAGACAAATCACTGGAAAAACAATACATGGGTGTTTCTTATATCCCAGGGCTTGCTTTTTATTTAGACCAACTGATTTTAACTTGGTCACATTAAAACTGTCTTGGAAACTTTATTCATTTACTTCATCATTTACTTTTTGTCTTTTATGTAAAGATTTTATTGTTTTAATCTTGTCCCAGACCCAGATTTTCAACCATAAATTATGAAAATCTATCATTAGGAGTGAAATAACTCAAGTTTTAAACCAAAACAATATCTTGTGTGAAATTGATTTATATGACATTTTTATTTTTTAAAAATAAATCATAATAATTAAAAAAATATTTCAGTTGTGGCATTTTCACCAGCATAAACAATTCTGGCCCTAAAGTTTTTTAAAAGTTAGACAATAGAGACAACTGTGTGGAGAAAATAAAGAAAGAAAATTTTGTGCAAAAAAAAAAAAATGTATTTCAAACATATAAAATGCTAGCTATAAAATTAGCCATAGCAAATAACAAAGTTGGCTATTTTCTTTAAAGTATCTTAAAAATGTTATTTCTATCACTGTCATTTCCACCCCAGTACTTAATTTCAGATGTGGTGGAAATTACATTGTGGTGGAAATGTTCATGACACTCATTTAAAAAAAAAAAAAGATTGAAAACATGAAAAAATAATCTTT